TATAGCTTATTGTCATAGTGATGATAAATGTAATATTGTGTCTACTCTGTAAGTCGCTTTGGATAAAAGCGTCTGCCAAATGCATAAACATAAACATAAACATAAAAAAGCAAGTCTTCAAACCAACCCTCTCCATTCCTGTATCTGCCCCAGTGCACAATGTGGGGTGGCCGTTCACCCACCATTGCATAACCCGAATTATACAAGCGAACTGTGCAATCAAAATGTGTGTTTGTGTTGGTATGCGTGCGTGTGTGTGTGTGTGTGTGTGTGTGTGTGTGTGTGGGCATGTGTGCGAGGGGGCACCTCTGAAGAGGCCTGCCTGTGTACCTTGGCTCTAAGCCGACCCCATTAAAGAGTGCACGGAGAGTGAGAGGTGTACTGGGAGGCTTTCTCTCTCTCTCTCTCTTTATCTCTCTCTCTCTCTCTCTCTTTTTCTCTCTCTCTCCATCACCGGACCAAACTCAGCTACAATACAGTGTCCTGCCTCAACAAACTGGCTTGAAAGGAAAAGTTCTGGTTTGGAAAGTCGTGGAATTTGTTCTCGAATCTCTTTGTTTTTTTCGGGTCCGGTTCAAAATGGCCTCAAAAATAAGAGTCCGAAACTTGTAAATGTTTCATTTTCATCCTTGAATTAGGCGTGTACACACGATGCTCTCGGGGCGCAGCAGCGGGCGTCCTGCACCGGGTAATAGTCAACATGTGACCCAGAATGCCACCACCAATTACAATCAAACGTTTGCCAAACACAACTTCCTGTTTCCATCTTAGTCCGAAAAGGACCCTGACAACCAGTTGAATTCCTCAAAGCCAGTCTCTTTAAAATTTAATTACACGACTACGACAAATAAAACAAGGCTTTGAAGTGGGCACTTTTTTTTTTCCCTATTCACTTATTTGCTCAATTGGACGCCGGGAAAGTTTTTTAACTAATAACTCGCATGTTAGTTATTTCATATACACATTAAATAAACTGGGTTATCTATGATTCTTTTTTCTTTTTATAGATGCAACCAAATGGGGCAGGAACAAAACTTTGTCTTTGCAACAGGCTGCAAATGAAGGGCAGAGAGGGACTATTTTTCAACAAGTTCTTTGCTTTCTGTAATATTATGAGAACGTTGGAACATCTATCAAGTTAGATGCCTTTTTTTAAAAGGTCAATGCCACAAATGGATCTACAAAAAAATAAAAAAATAAAAAAACATTCCTTTGGCAGGTGGTCAGATCTCTGATGTTCAAGTTCAAAAGAGTCCGAATGATCAAGACACTTTTGAAGATTACTAGAAAGTTACAAGTAATTTAAAAAAAAAGATGGCACAAAGAGGCAGAAAAAAAAGATTATATATACAAAAACAACTAGCTTCCCCCATCCTGTGGTTTAGATAGAAAGATTTAAGAAGAAACACGTTAGAAAAAAAAGGAAAAGAGAAGAAAAAAAGCACGTTCAGAACTGTAATCAAACCCAAAGCTGCAATCATCATTTTTAAACCTTTTTTTTTCTCTTTCCAGCACCTATTTTGGTGAGAAAAATCACGAAAAAGGACTTTTTTTTCTCCTTTTCTTGTGTGCAGTATGAAGATTGGTTAAACGAGAAGCGACAACTGAAGCTCAATCACTCGTCTTGTGCAACACGAAGCAATTTCCCTCTAAATATACGTGTTTGTGTTGCTTTTTGAGCACCACGGGCGGCGTTTCCTGTCTCTTTCGGCGCAGTTTGATGCCTCGTGGAAACAGAGGCGAACGCCACCCCGCCACAGATGCGCCGACTCGGGAAAAATCAGGAAAAAGCCCTCGGCCTCCTCTCCTCCAAACACCGACCCCGGAGGAATGGACAACCGCTAATTAAATTTCCTCTCCGTCCCTCCCATGTTGTTTTCTTTTCTTTGTTTTTTTTAGACCTCTATTCCTTTGTGATTTACAGGAAAATAAACAAAATTCCCAGGCGAGGGACCAGAATACTACTCCTTAAGTCCTTTTCTCTCCACTTAGTGTCCGAAGTCATTTGGATCAAAGTGGAAGAAGTTGAAAGTTGATCATTAGTTGACCCATCTGTCATGATGAGTTTATTTGTTTTCTCCTGATTTAAAAACCTTGAATGCGTTTCAAAGGGAGGTGCCCAGATGAGATGAGTTGGAGGGGGAAAAAATTATAATTTTTCTGCTTCCCAACAATGAAAGGACCACTCGGCCGTGGAAGAAGCTTTTGCCGCTACCTGAAAATCCTCAATTACCAGATTTTTTTCACACGATCAGAGCTGACAGACGCAGGGAGGGGAGAC